TGTCACTTTAAATTTTGAGGAGAACTGTTCGCATGCATAGTAGAACCCTCTTGGGGTGGGAGTGGGCTGTCCACTCACTCAGGCAACCCTTCTAGTCACCAGAAGGGAGGTGCACAGACAGCGAGACATCAATGAACAGATATCACAAAAAAATAATGTTCACACTTTTATTTCTGCGGTTCTGTCAGGCGTCCGTGACTGCCATGATCCTTCCCCCACTTGGTCTCACCTAAGATGGTGGCTCCTGGAGCAACTGAGCATCTTGAATTAGAAAGCAATGGATTTCTTGCTTCTGCTACAAATTCCCCTAGCTATAAGCCTTCCAACCTTATAAATATTCCTTTATATATGCTTCAGCATTCTGGCACCATCCTCTGAGCCTGCTTGGTCTGGTATTCTGTGGTGTTTCTGACCGAGCTCTTCACTGCACTTCCACCCTCTCTGCCAGCTTGTTTGTTCTCCCTAAAGGCTATTTGTTAACAGACAATCAGTGACACCCAGCAATTGTAAAATTTGCTGCTGCTTTTTAGGAACTTTGTTGGTGCAGTGGTTAAAGCACTTAGCCGCTAGATGAAAGGTCAGTGACTCCAACCCACCAGCCTCTGTATGAGAGAAATATATGGCAGCCTGCTTCTAGAAAGATTGCAGCTTTGGAAACCTTATGGGCAGTTTTATACTTTCACATGATAGCGTCCTTATGGGTCTGAATAGACTCAGTGGCACCAAGTTATTTAATCTGCTCTTAAGTTAAAACCTTGAATGAACTTGAAATTTACTTTAATCATATAGCCATGCATCTGCCTTGTTGCTTTTTTCTAGGTTTGCTGAATTATTATGTATAAATTCGGCACTTTTCCTTTTTTGACCACTCTATAAACGAGTCCTTCCTCATTCTCTGTCTCTTGTTTTTTGTTTTAGTGTCCTCATTGTGCATTGCTTGTCTCTGCCACACTACAATGTGTGATCCATTAGGCAATAACTTTGTATTGTTTAATGATGTATCTTAAATGCTAGACCAGTGCCTAACACATAGCAGTGAATTAATGCTTTAATGAATGAACCACATGAGGATTTAGGTGAAGAAGAGAAATACTGGATTAACTTTTTCTTTTCAAAATGATTTTGTGAGTATATTTAACATGAATAACAGTAAACTTGTATTTTAGGCTCCTTCTGTTATATTTTTAGAACATTCTAAGTCCAGTGGAATGAGTTTGAATATCATTCCTTCTGCAGTGGTATTTATTGACAGAGTAGGAAAACATCAGCTCAAATATTTTTAGACAATTTTTAAAGACTCAAGCCACTCAAATTATTTCCCCAAAATTCTCCTGATTTTGGAGGCAGCAGTTACTGTTGATGAAAAGTGGTTTATATGTGTAGTGTTTACCTCAGTGTATTTTCTCTTGTGCTATATCAGATAAAAACTTAATTTGTGTTTGTTCTGTCTTTGAGGATAAGTGTGTCTTTGCTTTTCCTCCATGCCAAGTCTACCTGGTAAAATAATTCATGTTGGTTTTTTCTAGGGATTAGATTTGTCTTCTGACTTCTACTTCTCTGTGTCATATGTATTGATTGAAACTCTGTTGTGCCCATTGTGGCCAGCAATGATGAGAACACTACCCCCCCCCCTTTTTTTTTTAAGACCTTTTATTGTGACTTGAGTGAAGTTTTACAGACAAGATCATCAGTTTTACATTCAACAAAGATATACTTTGTTTCATTTCAATGATTGCAATCCCCTCCATGGAACAACAGTTTCCTCTATATTGCTCCTACCGTCCATTCCATGTACCTTCCTATCCCTTCTCAACTTTGTCCTTCAGTACATGTTACCCCTTTGATTTTGAACGATTGACTGTTTCATAATTTATAGTGAGCATAGCTTAACTAGTGTTGTTGTTCCCCCTGTATACCTATGTACTGCTTTGCTGAAAGTTGGGTCAGGAGGGTCAGTTCCTTTCCTGACCTGAAGGGTGATCAAGGCCCATAGTCTCAGTTGCATCCAGTCTCTTTTTGACTAGTAAGCCCGGTCTTTTTTAAAAAAATAATTTTGAATTTTGTTCCACATATTTTGCTGCTCTATCCTGGATCTCCTTTCAGAGCAGTTAGCAGTGGTATCTAGGCATCATCTAGTTCTTCTGGTCTCAGAGTCACAGAGACTGATATTCACATGTTCCATTAGTCTGTTGGAATAACTGATTCCAAGTATCTTCATTTCTCACCACTCTTCTTTCTTTTGTACTTGGAAAACCAATAGCTGCATCTTAGATGGCTGCTCATGAGCTTTTACAAAAGTAGGATATAGAACATTTTCTTTATGGACTATGTTGTGCCAGTCGACTGTGTTGTTCCCTGAGATTATGGTCCTGATGCCCCAGGCTGAGCTACTCATTGCTTTAAGATATTTGATAGTATCTAAGAAGTTTTCATCATTTTGCCTGCTGTATGCTTCACCACATTCACAGTCATGTTTGCAGAAAAGGTAAATACTCATGTACCAATATCCTCTTTCAAACTCTTGGATATCTGTGGGATATATAAATATATACATATGCACACATATTCTACTCTTTCTCCCATACCCATTCAGCATGTGTCTCTGCCCATGTATCTACATGGAGCACATTGTTGTTCCAAGGTTGTATGTATATCAATATTTACCTCTATCTTCTTTAGCCCTTGAATACTTCCCTGTATCTTTATCTGTCTTAATCATTCTTCTGCCAACCTCCCTTTTCTTTTATATTGCCCTTCTGCTTCTTATATATTGCCCTTCCCTATCTTATATATTGTCCTCCCCATTAAGCAAAGGAGCTCTGGTAGCGTAGTGGTTACAAGTCAGGCTACCAACCTCAAGATCAGCAGTTCGAAACTATCAGCTATTCTGTGGGAGACAGATGAGGCTTTCTGCTCCCATAAAGATTTACAGCCTTGGAAACCCTGTACAGGGTCGCTATGAGTCGGAACTGACTCCACGGCACATAACAACAACATCACTCAAGCTAATATGTGTCTACCCCCTAGCTAGTGAATTACTCTCCCCTCTTTCCCACCCTGCTATTTTGCTCCGTAACACGTGTTAAATGAGTTAACATGCCTACGTACTTTCTAGCCAGTAAACTATTCTCCCTTCCTTCTCACCCCTGGCAACCATCAAAGAATGTTTCTTTTTTTTTTTCTTTCAAACTCTTGTATGTTTATATACGTAAATATATATATCCCACTCTTCCTCCCTTACCCATTCAACCTGTGTCTCAATCTATATATATCTATGCACAGAATACTGTTGTTTCAGGGTTGTATATGTATCACTATTTACCTCTATCCCTTTTAGACCATGCATATCTCTCTGTGTCTTCACCTATCTTTATAATTCTTCTACCACCCTCCCACTTCTTGTATATCACCCTCCCCATCATCCAAGCTAACTTGTGTTTACTCGGTAGCCAGTGAGTTACTCTCTCCTCCCTCCCACCTCATAATTTTTTCATAAAAAAAATTTTTTTTATTGTGAATTGAGTGGTAGTTTACATGACAGAACATTGGTTTTGCACTCGTCTTATTGTATTTCATTTCATTGCAATGATTACAATCCCCTCCATGCATCTTCATTCAACAGTATTTTCTTCTATTCCCTCTTTTTTTTCTTTTTTTAATATAAGCAGAATCACTCAGGAATACATAATCACTTAAACAACTAACCAAAATGCACATTCTGCAAGCCTGACTCTTGGCTGCCAGCATACAACCTTTCTCTTTCCATGAGTTTAGAGTCTTCAGCTGCTCTCTCTCACCATGTCATCATCTCTGCCTCCATTTCTGGTGTCGCTGCTTCTCTGGATAGGGTCCCACATTCCACTTGTGCTCTTCTCCCTTGCTGGTTTAGGTTCCTGTGTTCCTGCTGGAAGATTAACTACTCCCCCCTTTTTGCTACAAAACTTCTACCTTTACAGTTGTAACAATCGCAATTAGACATGATTACAATTACTATTGAATCATAAGAATCTTATCCCCATCTCTTTTCACTACACCCATCTAGACAAGATGAATACTAGTCAGTGGGGACTTTGTCTCCCCACCTCCCTCTACACACACTCTGAAACTAAACTGCCTCTTGAAAACTTGTAAGCCAGTTACTTTGTACCTTTATTGCCCCCCACAATTTAGGTATCTAATGTCTAAGTGCCCATTCCTATCAACCCTGTGTACAGAGGGGATAGGACTGATCCTTGATGTGATGATTCCTTTCCTGTCAGTTGGTATTTTGAGCTACTATATCCATAAGTATAGGCCAAGTTCCACCACACTTTTTTGCTCTTTAATTTGGAATGTGAAAATTGCCATGAAGGATTATTTTCTCATTTTTGGTTTCCTCAGACCATAAGGAATTGATGTAACTCAGTGTGACAATGGACAGGTCAAGTTAACTACCTTGATCTTAGAAATTTCTAAATTTGTAAGCTAGAAATATCTTATTTTTGGAAGTTATATTATTACATAATTATGTTACTCCTTGAGATATAAAACTGAATATAACTAATATGTAGTCTGTTTTCAGATTTCCCTAATTGTCTCAAACATCATTTCAGAGTTAATTTGTTTGACATAGGGCCCAAAGAGTTTCACATATTTCATTTGCCATCTATTTTCTTAAGTCTATTTCTATTACTATTTCTGCCCCTCACTTTTTCCCCTGAAACATTTATTTCTTGAAGAAATTGGGTCATTTGTTATGCAAAAATTCCAACATTCTTGGTTTTTATTTATTTTGATATCTAACTGCTTTGTGTCCTCAAAATTAAAACATAGGTCTTGATTAGATTCATGTTCAGCTTTTTACTTTTTTTGTTATAAATCGTAAGAATACATGGTAGGTGTGCTAGACACTTCATAATGCATTACATCAGGAAGGGTTTATTGTCTGGCTTTCCATTTTAGTGATGTTAACCATTGATTAGTAGGTTAAGGTGCTAATAATGATTTTACTTTTATTTCAGAAAAACTTGATTATTTGCTCTCAGACTACGATATCCTCGCTTTATCTAACATCCAGAAGCACTCAGTAAGAAAGAGAGATCTACAGACCTCAACACATTTAGAAACACTACTAACGTTTACAGCTTTGAAAAGGTAATTTGAATTATTTATGGAATAATATTGGGAACATGGGGGTTTGGTTTGGAAAAAGCAGAAAAATAAGGCTGACCACTGAAGTCCTGGTGTGGCGCTGTGGGTTAATGCACTGGATTGCAAAGTTGGTTTCATCTACAAGGGCGGCAGTTCAAGCTCACCAGCTGCTCCTCAGAAACCCTATACAGGGTTACTAAAGGTAAGGAGCTCTGATAGCGTAGTGGTTATGAATCGGGCTGTGAACCTCAGGGTCAGCAGTTCGAAACTACCAGCTGTTCCGCGGGAAAAACATGAGGCTTTCTGCTCCTGTAAAGATTTACAGCCTTGGAAACCCTGTACAGGGCTGCTATGAGGCGGAACTGACTCCACGGTACATAACAACAACAACAACAACAAGAGTTGGAAATGACTCAACAGCACTTAACAATAACAGCAACACTGATGTCTTAGGAAGTAAAGATTTGTAAGTGATATAATTAAATCTATCATAATTTTGTATAATGTCTTCTCCTATTCTAAAATTCATACTGATAAAGAAAGTATTAAAAAAGAAAGAAAACTCATGTTTAAAAGGTATTAATGATGATATTAATATTTTTGTGAAATTACTATAAAGAACTTTAACTAACAAATGGGTAAAATAGTTAGATTTATGTTGGTGCTACTTTAGAACTATGAACCGTGTAATCTTTATTTATGAAGACACTGAAGCTTAAAGGATAAAGGATTTGTTTAGGATTCCATTGAGTAGTGAGCTGGGTTTAGAATTTGGGATTCTTTCTATGTTGGGTTCCCCTTCACAACCTAAACTGATTGATGTGCCATATTTGAGTAGTAGTTTTAATATCTCATTGTTTTGTAGATGTGAATCTGTTAGGTAATTGCAGGCCTCTTTTAAAAGTAGCTCTGTTTAATATCCAAAACCAACTTCCAAAGCAACCCATTACTACTGTTGAGTCATCTCATAGCAACCTTATACAACTGAGTAGAACTGCCCCATAGCATCTCCAAGGCTGTAAATCTTTATGGAAGCGGACTGCCACATCTTTTTCCTGGTGGCTTTGAACAGCCAGTCTTTCAGTTATCTTTTAGCCACTGCCACCAAAACAGCAAAATAAGTACTTTTGTTGCTGTTAAGTACCGTTGGCTGTAAATCTTTACAGGAGTAGAAAGTCTTATCTTTCTCCCATGGAGCATCTGGTAGTTTCGAACTGCTGACCTTAACGTTCGCACTGCTGACCCTGAGGTTCGCAGCCCGATTTATAACCACTATGCTACCAGAGCTCCTTAAAATAAGTACTTTTGCTGTTATGTGCTGTGGAGTCAGTTCCAACTCATAGCGACCCTGTATAGGGTTTCCAAGGCTGTAAGTCTTTATGGGAGCAGAAAGCCTCATCTTTCTCCCGCAGAACAACTGGTAGTTTTGAATTGCTGACCTTGCGGCTTATAGCCCAATTCGTAACCATAGGATACACCTTCTCTATGACTTTTATCTTTGTTGTTGTTGTTAAGTGCCCTTGAGTTGGTTCTGCCCATAGCGATCCTGGGTCAGATCGCTTGAGGTTCCAAATGACTTTGCAGTCCAGTGCTTTAACCCACAGCACCACACCTGGATATTAAATACGTGATTTTTAAAACAAACTACAGAGAGTATAAAATGTTTCTACTTCTTTCTTAATCAGTCAAACTCCCTAGACCTATAGTTTCTTGTATAAACTTCCAAAATTTCCAAAAGATTTCATTAAAAAAAAAAAATCTAGATCTTTGTGTATATAGTTGTTATAGAGAACATAGATTTGCTTCATTTTTAACAGCGGCATATATATTTCATTGCATGGAATTGTTATGGATTTAGTTGATTAGTATTCTACAGGTGTATATTATTTAACCAGAGTGATTTTTTTTTTTTGGAGGGATGAAGGGTGACTATTAATGTACCAGTGAATAACTTCGTAAATATACTTTCTTAATAGAATACTTGCTAGAAGGAGGATTGATAATTTGAGGATGTGTATTTTATAAATGTTCACAGATACTGCTACATTTCCTCCTAAAGAGATTAAATTTTATTATTCTTCTAAAAGCTGTATGTGTGTTTAGTTGTTTCCTGTTTTTGTTGTTGTTGTTAAGTGCCATCCAGTTGGTTCAGACTCATAGCAACCTTGTATACGGTTTCCAAGGCTGTGTATTTGAATGATCAGAAAGCCTCATCTTTCTCCCGTGAAGCCATTGGTAGACTGAAACCATTGAACTTGTGGTTTGCAATTCAGTGCTTATCCTACAGAGCTACCACACTCTGTTTCTTGTAACCCTTGTCAATACTAACTAAAAACACCATACCCATTGAGTTGCTTCTGACTTATAGTCACCTTATAAAAGAGAGTAGAACTGCCCCATAGGGCTTCCAAGGTTGCCGTTACATAGAGGCAGACTGCTGCATCTGTCTCCTGTAGAGCAGGGTTATCAAACCACTGACCTTTCACTTGGCAGCTGAGCACTTAGCCTACTGTGCCACCAGGCCTTCTTGCCAATACAGGCTGTCCCCAGGTTACAAGCAAGGTACATTCCTATGTGTGTCTATAATTCAAATTTGTAGGTAAAGTGGAACAGCAGGTGCATACAGTTCTTATTTAGTGCACAAAGGAGCCCTGGTATTGGGTCAAGTGTTGGACTGCTAGTTGCAAGCTTGAAAGATTAGAGGGTTGGAGATTCAAACCCGCTAGTTGCAAGTTTGAAAAATTAGAGGGTTGGAGATTCAAACCCACTAGCTTCATCTCAGTAGAAAAATAAGGTTGCCTGCCTCCATAAAGATTTATTGCCTTGGAAACCCTAAGGAGCAGTTCTACTCTGTCCTGTGGCAGTGGGTTTAGTTTTGATTTAGTGCATGTAAAGGCTCAAGGAAGCATTTTCAGTGATTTAAAAGCTGCACAGGCAACGAAGGTGATGGGGATGCAGAACTTGTTGTGAGTAGGGGTTGGTTTAATGAGTTCAGAGTAAGGGCAAATTTACGTAACATTAAAGGGAACCCTGGGTGGCGCTGTGGGTTAATGTGTCAGACTACAAAGCCGTTTGAACTGCAAGGACAGTTCAAGCTCACCAACTGCTCCTCGGAAACCCTATACAGGGTTGCAGTGGTTCGGAACCGACTTGACAACACTTAACAACAACAATGAATTGTAAGTTGGACCTCAGATGTTCATAAAATGGATATTTACTATACTAGGTTTTACTACAGGTTTTGCTTCTCTGAGAGGAGGGAATGTTATCTCATTGCTATAATTTTCAATTTGCCTGAGATTGCGTGTTGTCTTAAATGCTTAATTCATTTATTTTTTCTATGAACTGCCTTTTCACATATTCTTTGACAGTTTTTCTGTTGGGATTTTAAATCCATAATCATATGTGTATGTATTGTTTTTAAGTTTTTATTGTGAATTGAGTGATAGTTTACATGGAAGAACATTGGTTTTACAATTGTTTCATTGCAGTGATTACAGTCTTCTCCTCCTTGCATCATCATTCAACAATATTTGCTACTATTCTCTCTGCCTTTTTTTTTAAATACACGAAAACAGTCAGGAATTTACAATCATTTAAACAACCAAAGGGCACATTCTGCAAGCCTGCTTCCTGGCTGCAAGCATACAAGCTTTCTCTTTCCATGAGTCTAGAGTCCTCAGCTGCTCTCTCTCTCCATGCTTTCATCTCTGCCTCCATCTCTGGTGTCGCTGTTTCTCTGGATAGGGTTCTGCATTCTGCTTGTGCTCTTCTCCCTTGATGGTCCTAGGATCCTCTGTTCTGGACTATAAGATTAACTAATTCCCCCTTTTTGTTACAAAACTTCTACCTTTACAGTTGTGACTATTGCAATTAGTCATGATAACAATTGTTGTTGTTAAGTGCTGTCGAGTATTTTCCTACCCATAGCGCCCTTATATAGGGTTTCCAAGGAGCAGCTGGTGAGCTTTAACTTCCGACTTTGCAGTTCAAATGACTTTGCAGTCTGGTGCATTAACCCACAGTGCCACACCAGAACACCCATGATAACAGTTACTCATTGTTAAATCCTAAGACTTTTATCCTCATCTCTTTTCACCAGACCTGCCTAGACAAGATGAAATCTATTTAGTGGGGATTTTACCTTCCCCAGCACACTCTGAAACTAAACTCCCTCTTGAAAACTTGTAAGCCAGTCACTTTGTTCCTTTATGTTGTTGTTGTTATATGCCGTTGAGTCGATTCCGACCCATAGCGACCCTGTATAGGGTTTCCAGGGAGCAGCTGATGAGTTTGAACCACTGACCTTGTAGTTCAAATGGCTTTGTAGTCTGACCCATTAGCCCACAGTGCCACACCAGGATTCCTTGTTCCTTTATGTTGTTGTTGTTGTTAAGTGCCCTCGAGTCGGTTCCGACCCATAGCGACCCTGTACAGGGTTTCCGAGGGTGTAAATCCTTACGGGAGTAGAAAGCCTCATCTTTCTCCTGTGGAGAGGCTGGTAGTTTCGAACCGCTGACTTTATAGTGCCCCACAATTTAGGTAGCCAATGTCTAAGTTGTCCATTCCTATCAACACTGTATACAGTGGGGATACTTGATGAATCACATGTGTTTTTGACTGTTTTTATTTTTCTTAGTTATTGCCTTCATTATATTATTTTTGAATAATAGATTTTATGTTAAAACTATTAGAGTATGTTTAGCTCCCAACATATAGCAAATTTGAGCAGAGTTTTACTAATAATGGAGTCTTGGTGGTTCTATAGGGTAAGTGCTGGACTGCCAACCACTAGGTTGGTGATTCAAACCCACCAGCTGTTTTTTGGAAGTCCTATACACTATGAGTCAGAACCAATTCAATGGCACTTAACAATAACAACAACATTACTAATAATAGCAATAGTTACTAATAATAGTAGCATCTATAGTTTATGAGATGCTTATTTTTTATAATTTACCCTGGTGGGGTTGTAGGTTAAGCACAGGACTGCTAACTGCAAG